CAAGATCATGTTTCTAGCATTTGTGGTTGATGAGTTATAGCCGTTCAAAGGTAACCAATCACACTTGCGTTTCTTTTAGTAGCCACTGTATATTGATAAAGAGTAGTTATTCTGCTAGTAGAATCTTTATAAAACTTAACATGACATTGTTGTTCAACTTTTGCATAAATAATATTACATACTTTTATAGTCTAATAAATTAAATTAAATTATTTATATATTTTTACTTGTTAAAATATCTTTAATAAATAATACTTCATTGCTATGCTAAGAAATAAAAAGAACAAAATAGATTTTTTCTAATATAGGACAATCATTAGATTTTTTTAAAATAGTGATTTCATTATTACTAATTTTAGATAATATTAACTCTCATTAAAGATGATCCTCATAATTATTTTCAAATTTCAATTAAGTTGCAACTTAATTGAGCTATAAGAAAATTTAATTGCATCACAAATTGCAATTCAAATGTATCATTTTTTTAATTATAGTAACTATCTTTAACTCTCATGCAATAATATTCTAATTTCTTTAATGCTCAAAATAATACTATTAATATATTTGATAAAAAAATATTTAGTCATCTAATTAAAAATTCTGAAAAATAAAAAAAAACATTATTATTATTTTAATAAAAAGTGATAATTTATATTTTTCATAATATAGTAACCTTTAAAGTTTTATTTTATGATGATTATTAATACTTATAGCCCCTTTAATTTTTGGTAAAATATTAAAGTATAATGTCTTATTCTAAAATAAGTATTACATATTTATCATATCATATCTTTAGACTATGTTTCATTCTTTTCTATAAAAAAATAAATGATTAATTAAATAAATAATTATATAAATATTTTTACAAAATAAAAAATAATAAATTAATAAAATAAATAAATAATAATAAAAATAAATATAATTATTTAATTTATCTTTTTGTGTTTTATAATCTTTTATATAAATGAAAATATGCTTTAAGGACATTTTTATTAATTTTATAAGTAAAAGGTTTAGAGTAATTAAAAGAAAATTCATTTTTAATTAATTCACCAGAATCTTCTTTATCTTGTTCATTTGTTTTTATTTTAATTTGAACTAAAGCAACTAAAATAGAGTTAAGTTATATAGATTTAATTTATTATTATTTGCAGCTTCTGATTATGAACTTGCATCAAGTAAATCATCAACAGATTTAAATTTTTTATCTATAAGACTTTATTGAAAATTTACTTTGATTAGCTAAATAATTTTTACTTTTAACCAAACTTTATTTATTTTATTTAAAATATCATTTTGGTCTGATTTTAATTAGCCAATATTAGTTTTAATCAATTTAATATGTTAACTAATAGAATTATTTTGCTATTGTATTAAAATTGCAAGATGTAAAATATATCTATAAATTTCTTCTAGTTTAATTCCATTATTATCAGTCATCTTTGATAGTGTATTAGTTTGTTTTACTAAAATTTGTGAACTTTAGAAATATTTGTTAAGAATATACTTGCATTTATTTTTCAAGTTTAAAATAAATGAAGAAATAAATAATATTATTTATTGTTCATTTTATATTTAATTAAAATATGTTTTATAGGTAATAAAACATTTTATTATTAAATTAATATAGAATAAACATTCAATATAATATATTTTTTAAAACAAATTTTTCATTGAACTTTTTATTTTTTTTTCTTACAAAAATATATTAAATTAACTAAAAAAAAAAACCTTCTTATTTAATATTTTTATTGAAAATTTATAATAAATGAATGACTATATTATTATTATAAATATAAAAGTTCATTTTTTTCAAAAAGAACTTTTCATCAATATTTATTAAAGAATAATATTATATATTTATTGTATAAACTCACACGATTACATTATAAATGAGTTTATTTCTAGTCAATTTTAATAATTTAATTTTTTTTTTCTATAATACACTTTTTCTTTTTGAATTTTAACATAAAAGTTCTGCAAAAAAATAAGGTTAGTATTGGCTGTTTTGTATGTTTTTAAATTATATCATGTATTTGTAGTTATTTATTTTATGTTATTTAATTATCTTCTTCAATTGTTTTTACTAAACCTACAAAGAAATAAAAAGAATATTTTAAACAAAAGTCTATTGTTAAAATACTTATTTATCAACAAACAGCTAGCTTAAAAAATTCAAAAATTATTGTGAAACAGTTGGATTGACTGATATTTGTGAGAATATTACTAACTTAAAAGACTTGGAAGAACAGATATCTGATTATATTATAGTAATAAAATAATAAAATGGAGAAGAATATTCAACATCATCTATTATTAATGTAATACATATATTAAATCAACATCTAAATATGTATTCCCTATTATGACTAGTTGATTTACTTAATTAAAAGCAATTTTTTGATTTACATTTGATATTTGATGGTAAATTAAAAAAATTAGCCAAAGTTAGTAAAGGCATAAAAAAGAGATCTTTAGCTCTTACTATTGAGAAATTTTAACAGATTTTGTAATTTCCTATACTTACTCGAGAAATTCTATTAGGACTTTTAAAAAGAATCTTTTTTTATAATACAATTTTTCTTGATCTTCGTGGTGAAGAGCATTATAAATTAAAGTTTAGCCATTTTCATAAAAAATATGATGGAGGTTATGATGTAAATATTACTTGATCAAAGATAAAACAAGAAGGTATTGAAGATCTAAATAATGATTCTGATAATAAATTACAAATTTTAAATTATCTAAGTATTATTGCAGATTATGATTTATTTTTTATCAAACGTGCTGTTGATATAAAGGAGAATTTTTATTTATAGAAAATAACTAATAAAAATAATAAATAATATATGTAATTTCAAAAATTTAATAATGATATCATTTATTATTTTAACTGTTATATTTTATTAGTATATATTATGAAGGTAGATGGTATTTGAAAAATCAAATAGGAAAACTTTTATTATAAGAATTCTTTCATAATCTTGCAGTTGAATGTGAAATTTCTGTTAAAGGGAGAAAAATTACTAACCATTCTGAACGTAAATCCTTAGTTTCTTTATTAAAGGAGTTAAATTTTACAGATATTGAAGTTATGTCTGTATTCTGACATAAATCTATAAGTGGATTAAAGTCATATGAATGATCAATAAAAAACTTCAAAATGTTTCATTAAATGGATTAGTTGATGCTATTTTTACATCTGGTATGATAAGTATTATCAAGTTTTTATATAAAATAATTATATATTAATATATTAATTTATTTTTGTATACAGATCAAAATACTTTAACATTATGTAGTACTACTTTAATGAATAATGATAAACAAACCCAATTTGCAAGTGATGAACATAAGCAGAATAGTAGTAAAACATCTGATACAATTTTAACACTTAGCTTTCGTACTGTATTGCAAGTTGTTAAAGGTGCTATATTATTTATTAATATTATGTTTTAATTATTTAAAATACTTATTTTTATCTAAATTCTTAGTAGAAAATAATTATTTGCAACAAATTAACATGAAAAATGATAATAAAATGAAAATGTCATTTCAAGAAAATAAAAACATTTCTAACTTAAATGTTAATTTTGAGAGTTTTCAAGATCTTTTTAAAACAAAATGATACTAAAGTTACTTTTCATAATTGTTCATTTAATTTTAATAGTATGAAAAATTAATAATATTAATATGTTTGTATAATATAGTGAAATTCAATTATTATATATATCACTAATAAAGCTATTTAATAAATATAAAAATATACATAATGTGATCTTATAAGAATATATAATAAAATAAGCTTATTAAATATAAACAATATATTGCAAAGAAAATTAAAAATAAAATTTTTAATACTTATTCAAATCAATCTTTATTTATTTTATCTTTAACAAATGATCTTTTTGATAATAATGTTGCTACAACTTCATATAATATAAAATTAAAAATATGTTAATCAATTTCTTCAATACCTATTTTACAAAAAAGTTCTAATCATATTGAATATGAAAAAATAATTCCATAATTTTTGAAAATAACACAGAATTTATTAGTAATCATAATGACAAAAAAAATTAATCTGATGAAATTATTTAAGAATATAAAGACTTAGATGAATATACAAATAATATTAACTATAATACTATCAATACAATTCTTTGATTTTTAATGTAAATGAAATAACAAAATGGATAATACTTTGGAGTTATCTTTTTTAGAATACTTTTATATTATCTTAAATAGCAAATGCAATATCATTAGATTTTTTTAAAGAATTATTACAATCTTTAATGAAAGAATCTTTTTGATTTTTTTAACTATTTATTATGCTATTCAATTACTTAATATTGAACTTACATACAGAAATTATATTTTATGTCTTTAATATTATCAGCTTTATTTATCAGATATTTTTAATAATAATAATATGTAAAAAATATAATAAAACAATTACTAAAATAGTTCAAATATCTAAAAGAAATCATCTAATTAAGATTATTTAAATTAAAATAATTAATAATTTTTTTATTTAAAATTATTTTATTTATTAAAAATATTTTTTTTACTAATTAGTCAATTAAAATATATTTGTATAATTTAATAATTGAACAATCAAAAATAATTTTATCAAAACTAGGAATAAAAAATCTGCTAGAATCATATTTTGATCATGAAATTAAAAATAATATATTTGTTGATATATATGAAGAAAAAGTTTGAAAAACATTTACTGATTTTAATAATCAATCTATTTTTATTAAAAGTTTATATTGATTTGCTTTAAATTTAAATTAGTTTAATCCTTGCAAATATATTCAATATTTTGTTATATTTTTCATAATTTAGAATATTAATATAAGCTATTAAAAATCTAATTTTAATAATTTTGATATTGATCTTTCTTAATATTCAAAAGAAAAGCATTAAAATATTGTTTATGAATTTAAAAAATCATATTCTATCCCTTAAACTGTAAAGCAGGCAAATTTGCCTGCGAACATAAAAAAAAAGTATTAATTTTTTAATAAAAAATAA